CAGGTGGTAGAGGGTGAGGTACATCGGGGGGGGGTTCTTGGCTAGGAAATCGGGGGGGAGTGCGGCACGGTAGCGGAGATCACTAGTACGGAGGTGAGTGATGAGGTCAGCTACAGTGGCAAAGGCAGATAGATCGGGGAAGAGATAGGGCAGTGAGAGACGGCCTATCGCAGCAGTGGCAGGGGAGGAGTAGCGTGCAACTACAGCGTCGTACAGCTCCTTAGCGGTCTTATGCTGTCCAAAGTGCTCGCGCTCATCTAGCGGTAGGTGGCTGCGAACGGCTAGGCGAGCATGAGCGTCACGGGTCTGCCACTATGATCGAGCAGTGCTGTCAGCAGTAGCAGCAGGCGCGGGAGCGGCGCCGGACGTGTGGTCAAAAAGGGAAACATCGTCCTTGGCAGTGATCTGGAGGAACAGGTGCAGGTCATCGAGCCAAACGTCAAACTTAATCGGACGGCCCTCAGAGTCAAACGTGAGAACGGTAGGACTAGCCATAGTGGCAGTAGCAGTAGCAGTAGTAGCAGTAGCAGCAGTAGCAGTAGCAGAAGTAACAGAAGAAGTAGTAGCAGCAGGAGGGGCAGTAAGAGCAGTTGCTGCAGGTAGGGCGGCGCAACTCGGTCAGGGCGGCGCGACTCGGGCGGCGCGACTCGGACGGCGCGGCTCGGGCGGCGCGGCTCGGGTGGCGCGGCTCGGGTAGGTAAGGCGGCGCGACGGCGGGCCTATGCTTGGTGCGCGGCGGCGCCTAGGGTGCGGCTGCGCGCGGGCCGTGGCTGCGTTCGTGTGGCGGCTAAGCGCTAGCAGCAGCAGCCGACGCGTGATCGCCGCTGCGCGCTGGCTGCGTCCTGCGGGCGGGCGGCTGAGGGTCGCGCGTCGGTCTAGGGGCGGGCGGGGCCTACAGGCGACGGCCTGCTGGGGCTCGCGAGAAAAAATCGAGCCGCCCAAGGCGGCGAAGTTCCTACGCGCGCTAAAACGGCGGGGCCGCGCTCGGGCTGCTAGCGGGCTGCAAACGGGCAGCGTGAGAGGAGAGCGCACGAGGGCGCACTAGGAGAGAGGCGCACGAGGGCGCTAAAAAAAAGGGCGCACGAAGGCACCTCTAGCGGAACGGTGGGCCCTTAGGTCTAGAACCTAAGCTCTTAATACCATGTCAGAAACAAGAAGTGATTGAACTATGAAACATTGGAGTACAAGTATGAAACCCTAGAGTTGTGTACCCCCTAAAGGCTAACCCACTATAGCCTACACAGCAATAACATATATATAATGTTTGACAGTCGATAGCCACCTTATCGACCTGCCCAACAGAAGAAGGCCGTCGAGCACTCCTGGTCGTCGGCAACACCACAGTGATCCCCTGCAGCTCGACGAAGCCCGTCGAGCAGCTCCTTCACTGCGAACGGTCGGCTGCTTCTCTCGTTCATCCGACCAAGTCGTCGGCGTTGCTCAAGCGAGGCCAAGGCCAACAATCCATTCCCGTTAATAGATGACACCAGCACTCGCGGCTCGGGCGTTTGAGCCTTTGGGCTAATCAGCAGGTAGAGCCAAATGAAACCTCTTCACTGAGTCATTTGCGTATATCTTATCAGGAGCCTCAAGAACCATCAGCAGATAACCGCCGTCAACTACCAACGGTCTTATCGGAGCTTTGATCGGGACAGACATTCTGAAAGGAGACGGAAGGTGGGAAGGACTGCTAGTACCATGTCGAAACTACCTGTTTGAGGCTATTGCTTGGGAATCGTAAACAAAGGTATTGGTGCCGAGCAGCCATGAATTTGGAGCATATGTCAGCCCTGGTCACCAATCCCCAACACTCCATAGTTACGAGCCGATGTGGACTTGCCTGCTAACCTTGTCAGTCCGTGAGCGTTGGGCTTACGGGCATCGAGATCATCGTGCGTGGTCTGTGGAATAGTGATGGAGGTCAAGCTATTCGGCAACTTGGAGGTTCTAAAAAGTAACTACTGTACTTTTCAGAACGGGTAGTTAAACGGGTTGATACAGCCTTATTCTCAGCTATCTCACAATCGGGAGCAACGTCCACAATGTTGTCATTTAGCTCCGCTGTGCATGCAACCGAGCCCCCTAATGTTGACAGGCACACCATGCACCAAGCGTCAAAACAGAACACTCGAAATGTTCTGCTGACTTGGTCCTACATGGTGGCCATAGATTCTACGTCAAAACACACAGATGACAGACAAATCGGACAAGTTTGAAATACAAACTGCAGCCAAACACACATGCCAGCGCACTGTGCTTGGCTGTCTTGATCAGGGCTGACGTTTCGTTTTAGGCCTCCCTGATTCCGGGGAAAATTTTCCCCCTCTATTATGGGTGCATATTTTCCAAAAAATCATCACCCTGATTGCTCAGTGTTGAGAAGTTATATAGTTTGATTGTTCAGGGTCGAGAAGTCATGATCAGAGTACTAACGCGCTTTGCAATATCGAAACTGAACTTTCATGGCGTGGTATACACGCTTCAGATCTTGCTAGATTTTATTGTTCGTACTTTTGTTGTGTGTCTGGGTGCATATGATTTTCTGTGAAAGGGCGAATCTGCAATGTCAGACACATTTGACTGTGATTGGTCAAAACTTTGTGCTCTTGCTCAGGGAAAATCTGTTGTCTCAGGACCATTTTGCTATGATTGGGCAAATTCGTTGCTCCGTACGGCACGAATTCGCTTTGTGAGCGCGAATGTTGCGCGTGAGTCAGTTGCGCATGCCGTTGAGTGTCCAGTGTACAGTACAACCCACTGCCCCAGTTGTACAGTAGTTGGACGAGCCGTCGGCAAGCATAGAGGCTCGTGGCAAGTGGTGCTGTTTGGACGCTCCCTCGTGTTTCAGAACAGAACAGCGATGGGAAGAATGTTGCGCGTGCAAGGGGTCCCTGTGCAATAGAAATCATGATTACGCACATGGGGGGTTATCGAGACGATGTTTCTAGGAAACTTCTTCCCGATACCCTCGCATTCTGTGTCCACAGCACGCGTACTCTGTAGTGACAGAGTCCATAATAATACTACTCTGAGCTTGTATACAATTTTTGAGGGCCCGCTAAACCTTTATTCTGAATGGATCAGTGTTCACAAGTCGGAAATTCTGAAATTGCAGGGACCACCAACTGACTAGTCTGAAATCACCCTGAAATCAGGGTAATTACCCTGATAAAATCAGCCCTGGTCTTGATTCTGCCACACTTCCTGGCCAGTCATTGTCAACAGCTGGCACAACCAAGTTGGCAGTCATGATTGTGCTTGTAGAGTATGTGCTAGCACCATTCTGGGCACGCTGCAGTCACCCAAGGCGTTCGGTACATGTGGCGAATGTCAGTGTGGTGAGAATGAGGGTGTACTGTAGTGCCATGCCAGTCGTTGACAACTTGGGGGTGTTCTCAAGGCCACCCGTTATCAAACAGCTGGCACCGACACATCCACAATCGTATCGCTTATCTGATTATAAAGAGCATACAGTTTGAGAAGGGATCCATGTGTACATATATCAGTACGTTAAACGAATGTAATCCGCATATCTGATACAAAGAGGCCATAAGGATCGTAACGAGTTTACTTTCCTTCACGTCATCCTATATTCCACCTACAACACTGGTCGCTCAAATTCGCCAATTCGTTGACACAAACCGGCATGTCTTGCACAGCCAGGTCGCAGTCATGATGACTCATCATAAACGGTACATTTCTTTTGCAGAAAGCCCTGCTCGAGTGGAAACCCTAAATACACATTATTCAATGGAGCTAAAAAGTCCATGTCCCAGAGCAGGCAGGGTTTTGATGAAGCTCCTTCATCTGCACATATGGGTTGCGAAGGCCAGCACATATAGGCTCCCAAACAGCCACAGCAGAAAGGGTGCAGTTTCTACGGCAGAGATCATAGGAATTCTCGTGAATCACGTCAAAGGCGAGCATCCACGCCCCCACCGACACATCCTCGTTTGTGAACATGCCCAGCCTGCGATCAAGAGAGTAATGAGACCAGAGATGGCTTTTGTGAACACTGAACATGATTGAGGCGCCTCATCGGCATGCATGCTCAGCCTGCGATCAAGAGCGTAACGAGACCAGAGATGGGAAAACAAGAGTCGGGTTTCACACAAAAAAAAAACTTTTCCTTGCAGTGCTTGGACTGGAACGTTTCCATATACGTCCCACCTCGTTACAAGATAAGCGCGACGCTCCTGTTACTCACCAATCATTGGAAATGAAGTTGGCGCTAATATCCATGCACCTCCACCAATGACAAAGCATGACTCAGTAACCAAGGCATGCATGGCTCAGTAACCAAAGGCATCCATGGCTCCATAACCAGAGGCATGCATGTCTCACCCGTCCTCTGGGATGGCGTTGAGGATTTCAACCACGCCATAGGAGAGGGAATAGATGGAGCCAAAAGCATGCGCGAAATAATGCGACCCCAGCAGCTCTGAATTGGGCTCAAACCTGCGCAGAACAAAGCACAAGAACAGTGGGAAACAAAAATGGTAAGAGGTCAGGGATAAGTCGACTCAAAACTCGACTTATCAAACAGAAACGGTAAGAGGTCAGGGATAAGTCGACTCAAAACTCGACTTATCAAACAAAAACAGTAAGAGGTCAGGGATAAGTATGAGAACAGGAGAAAGCGGGTGACGAATAGGTTGTTGCATTATTGTCAAGACAGCTCGAGGGAACAGCAGGAGAGGTACTCTGGCCCCAGTGTTGCCAAAGGCTGTTAAATCCCACTAGCAATAATAGGATGACCTAGAAACTAAGGAAGATTCCGGCGAACAGAGTACACTGTACAGTATGGAATCATGCACAGAGCGCGATTCCATGCTGAGTCAAGTGACACACTGTCAAAAGGAATGCCACAGAGCGCGATTTAGGTGCAATTTGGCAACTCACCACCTCTTTTTGGGGTCGGTAATCACAGTTCCCCACTTGAAGCATCCAAGGTACGTTCGAGGCGAGTCCCTTGGCCTGGCGATGAGAGAAGAGAGGCGCTATGCAGGGAAAAGGGCAGAAAGAGGCAGCAGTAGGCAAAACTTCAATGCTGCCAGCAACATTTGATCCTCTGCATCACCATCTTCAGGAAAAACAAAAAACAAAAAAACAGCACAGAAACATATCTCACACACAATCGTAGCAGGCACATGGCTGCTGCGTGGGCTCAAATGGATGGTCACATTTTATCCGATTACCACCCAGCTTCATAGCACTTGAAGTTTGAGATGTGACATGGGCGCACCTGGTATGAGGTAGATGTCATCGTCTGCCTTGATGTAGAAGTCGGCTTCATAGAGCTTGAAGAGAGATGTGAAGTACACGAGACTGGGGGACATGGAGAGGAAATCATGAAAGCAGGTGAAAAAAGGCGTGAAAACAGTTCAGGTATGCGGAAGGTATGAGGAGGGTATGAAGAGGGTATGAGGAGGGTATACGTGAGGAAGAAGCACAATGGCAGCACGTGAGGAAGAAGCACAATGGCAGCACGTGAGGAAGAAGCACAATGGCAGCACGTGGGGGAAAGGCATAACGGCGGCACGTGAGGAAGAAGCATAACGGCAGCGAGCAAAGAGCCACTCACGTCGTCATCAACAGAGCACCTCACGTTGCAAGCAGCAAGCAAGCACCTTACGTCTGGCACCTCACGCTGCCAGCAAGCCAGCACATCACGTCTTGTGGTTGAGATTGAGACAGTGTAAGCACCTCACCTTGCAAGCAGCAAGCATGCGAGCACCTCACGTCTTGTGGTTGAGATTGAGATAAGCCTCATCCACATCAACACGAAAACTATTGGCCACGCACGCACCATCCTGATTGTAAATAAACAGCTGAAACGCCATCATAGAGCGAGCACCTCACGTCTTGTGGTTGAGATTGAGGTATCCCTCATCCACATCGATGCGAAGGAAGTTCCCGTGAGTGCTGTTCTCCGCCTGCATCAGCTGCTCTTCCTTTGCGCTCGCACTGTGCCCGACTATGAATCGAAACGCCAGCCCCAATGCTGCTTCCACGCTGGAGAGTATGTGCATGGTTGAGAACAAGGAGGAAGAACCCATGAGTGCTGTTATCCCATCCCATCCCATCCCATCCCATCCCACCCCACCCCACCCCACCCCATCCCATCCCATCCCATCCCATCCCATCCCATCCCATCCCATCCCATCCCATCCCATCCCCATCCCATCCCATCCCATCCCATCCCATCCCACCCCATCCCATCCCATCCCATCTCATCCCATCCCATCCCATCTCTCGTCCACGGCGCTCCTGTCGTGTACCATCCCATGGGTTAGATGAGAGCATCGCAGTGCAATACAAGTACCAGGAGCGTCGACGTTTCTACTCTACATTAGACCTCACATGCCCCACGACACGCGCCATGACATGCGCCATCTCCCCACGACGTTACCCCACGGATGATGACCTACCGCGCGTGCTCCTCGGGCGTGCCGGGAAACCACGTCTCGTGGAGCAGAGCGCGTTTCCTGCGGTTTTTGAAACCAGTCTGCACCCCGACGAACCCCAGCACGCGCTTCCTGCCCGGGTACCGCAACCGATCTGCACCCTTCTCGTCCACTCCTCGTGTGTCCGCCGCATCCATTTCTCGTGCGTCCGCCTCTTCGCTGATCCCGAGGTTCGCCGCCTCGTCCATTTCTCGCAGGTCCGGCGCCGCCTCGTCCATTTCTCGCAGGTCCGGCGCCGCCTCGTCCATCATCTCTTTCCGGTCTGCGCCGCCGGCCAACGGTCCGATCTCGGCGGCGGTTGCTTCAACCGGCGTCTTTACGAACTTGGATTCACTACTACTACTCCTTCTCCATGGTGGGGAAGAGCCGGAGCAGCTGTATCTTATAACGAGGACGTCTGCAAGGACGAAGAGCGCGACGGCTAGGAGTAGGAAGAGCGACCACGACACGCGCCATGATGACGTCAGCACGCGCGGCGCGACGGACGTCTGACTCTTGAAGCTCATCATGAGCCTCCTAGAGCCAATGAACGGCTTGGGGACCTTTTGAGAACTCTCAATGAACGCGAATTTTCTGGTACGGCCAATGAACGGCGCCAACTGCCTTAGTAGTATTTGGTTCTTGGAGCAAATCGAGACAGGGTTGAGGAAAACACAACTTAGGGCTGCGGCCGTCTCATTCCAGCAAGCAGCCAAGCTGCGTTCTGCCAGCGCCTCCCCCACCCCATCATCCGCCTTCTAGTACACCCCATCATCGCAAAAAAGGACTTGCCAGAAAGCTGCGGGAAAGTTGCAAAAAGGATACTTTTTGGATACCTTGGTTTTGCAACTTTCCAGTGATGGTCAAAAGTTGCAGAAATGCAAGTCACTAGAAAGTTGCAAAAAAGTTGCATTTCTGCAACTTTCCCGCAACACAACCGCAACTTAGCGGACACTCTTTGGACACGTTGCGTATACATTTCAGTCACATGTATGCAGTTTCACGGCCTGCCACGTGGCATGCGTACAGTTTCGACTTCGAAGTGTACGTACGCTGGTACATTCGCGAAGATATTTTGCCACGTAAGCAAAGATATTTCTGCCAGGTGTCATTCTCGATGTGTGAACGACAGCTTGCCATGTGGACCAATCAAACAAGCTGTAGGTTCATGCGACAATTGAATACTACAGGCCGTCGTTTTGTCTGAAAGCAAATCATGCGTTTTATGGGTTACTTGTTACAGGTTTAGAAGGTATATTATCTATATTATGTGGCACATTTGCATACATCTTTAACAGTATACACAGTGCACAATCTAGTCGGAAAACCAACACCGCTAAACCAACGTCTACATAGCTTCTGGTTAGATGAACACGAGGCGAAATTACGCTAGTTTTAAAGCCTGCAAACAGGGATACGACAAAGAGTTATGACATTGTAAGTAGTATGCTTGTTCTTTACCTCGTTGACCTACCATACGCGGGCCTTGACTTCAACTAATAACATTGCCGTGAGTGTGCCAGATAGCTACAGGGTCTTGATAAGACCCCTGCAAAAAGTATAAAAAATCCAATCAAATCTCGTGACTTCCATCATCCCTGCAACAGTCTTGATACCACACACAGAAGAACACTAACAGAACAAAGACACATAAACGTTAGCGTTAGAGGCTGGATTACATATAACTTGAACATACAAATGCAGGATGTTATGAGAAACGTGCAAGGTGAGGACGTCGATTTAAATAAGATGCAAGCTGAGGCAGGGTGAGACGTGTCTGCCACGATTCGAAAGCAGTCCTCCGCATGCAGAGAGCTAGCCGATGAGCTGTGTATGCGGGGGACTAAAAACAGTTGAGAAACGCAACTGATTAAACTGAACAGGGGATGGTTGTGGAAGAACAACGAATGAATGAACTAGCACAAGGTTGGGTACAAGTAGGAAACCCTAGGAAACTGTACCCCATAGTGTCTACCCCACTATAGCCTAGACAAGCTATATGATATAAGTTTGACACACCCCCATAGGCAAAGTGGGGGAGAACAAGAGGTCACAAGACCAGTCAAGCAAAGCAAAGCAAGCTCAGGGTGGATCACAACGTCACCACACAATCCGAGCACAAGAGCAAGGCCACAAGGCCAGTTCACATGCAAGATCATATATAAAAGTAAACAGGCAAGTGCAGGTATAGAAAGATCACAGTACAAGCAAGGTCAAGAAAAATTTTCTTTTCTCTTTTTTTTTTTTTTTTTTTTTTTTTTTTTTTTTTTGGCGTCACCAGTTCCCTGACGCCACTGAGATCCCTCGCTGGGGAGAGCTGTCTAGGGCGGGGGTTGCTATCTTTGATCTTGATTATGATGCTATTCTTGCTGCCATGTATGCTGTGTCTGATAGTGTTGAGGGTGACTGTTATCTGTGTGTTCCGCCTGACCCGGGCATTGAGGCTGCTGCTCTAGGTGCAGGTGAGGCTGCTGCTCTAGGTGCTAGTGCGTCTGCTGCCCCAGGTGCTGGTGAGTCTGCTCTCTCAGGTACTACGTCGGCTCAGGCCTTACACACCTTCACCCTTGACTCGGGTGCTTCCCGCTCCTTCTTTCGAGACCGCACCACGCTTACGCCGCTTAGTCGGCCGGTTGCGGTCTCCCTGGCGGACCCCTCTGGGGGTCCTGTCCTTGCTAGCTTCTCCACTGTCTTACCGTGCCCGGCAGCCCCCTCTGGCACCCTGTCAGGTCTCTACCTCCCCTCGTTCTCTACGAACTTGGTGAGTGGAGCTGATCTACAGGACAGGGGGGTTGACCAGTTCACTCCTGCGAGTCAGCGGGTGACCCACTGCACGTGTGCTCGGACAGGCCGACACTTGGCCACGTTCACCCGTCGGCCGGGGTCGAGCCTGTACACACTTACTACTGAGTCTCCTCCGGCTGCTGAGTCTGGTCAGGTAGCTGCGTCGAGTCAGGTGCTTGCTGCAGCGTCCAGGTCTGGTCCTGAGTCTGCTCCCTGCTCGTGTCGTCTCCTGTCCCACCAGACTCTCCTTTGGCACCACCGCCTTGGTCACCCCTCCCTGCCTCGTCTCCGAGGCATGGCCTCCCGTGTCCTTGTCTCTGGTCTCCCCCGGTCTCTCCCTCCCCTACCTCCAGGGCCTGCCCCTACCTGCGTCCCCTGCGTCGAGGGGCGACAGCGTGCCGCCCCTCACTCCTCCGAGTTTCCTCCGACAGAGGCTCCGCTGCAGACTCTTCACATGGACGTGTGGGACCCCGCCCGCGTCCGTGGCCAAGGGCACGAGCGTTACTTCCTGTTGGTGGTTGACGACTACTCGCGTTACACCACAGTCTTCCCCTTGCGTAGCAAGGGTGACGTCACTGAGGTGTTGATCGACTGGATCCGCGCAGCTCGTCTCCAGCTCAGAGAGAGTTTCGGCTCGGACTTTCCTGTTCTGCGTCTGCACTCTGACAGAGGCGGGGAGTTTTCCTCTGCCCGTCTGGGAGCCTTCTGTCGAGCACAGGGCATCCGCCAGACCTTCACGCTTCCGGCCTCTCCACAGCAAAATGGGATTGCTGAGCGCCGCATTGGCATGGTCATGGACGTCCATGATCCATGCGGCTGGCCCCCATTTTCTGTGGCCGTTTGCGGTTCAGTACGCAGCGCATCAGCTCAACCTTCAGCCCCGGGTCTCCTTGCCAGAGACCTCCCCCACCTTGCGGTGGACGGGGAAGGTTAGCGATGCGTCTGCGTTTCGGGTCTGGGGATCTCGGGCGTTTGTCCGCGACTTGTCTGCGGACAAGCTGTCTCCCCGTGCTGTTCCCTGCGTCTTCCTTGGCTTCCCCCCTGACGCGCCTGGGTGGCAGTTTTACCACCCCACCTCGCGCCGTGTTCTGTCCTCCCAGGACGTCACCTTTGACGAGTCGGTGCCTTACTACCGTCTCTTTCCCTACCGCACTGCGCCCCTCCCCCCGCCGCCGCTCTTCCTTGCGCCAGGTCCTCCCCCGGTAGACCCCCTCCCCCCTCAGGGTCCTGCCCCGTCAGGTGTGTCCCAGGTAGATGCAGTCGAGCCTGTCGAGGTAGCTGTTGACTCTGGTGCTGCTAGAGGTGCTGAGCCTGCGGGTGCCGGGTCTGGAGGTGCTGAGCCTGAGGGTGCGGAGCCTGGGGGTGCTGAGTCCAGGGGTGCGGAGCCTGGGGGTGCTGAGCCTGGGGGTGCTGAGCCTGGGGGTGCTGACTCTGGGGGTGCTGAGCCTGGGGGTGCTGAGTCTGGGGGAGCTGAGCCTGGGAGTACGGAGCCTGGGGGTGCTGGGTCTGCTCGTGTGGCCTCTCGCGGTGCTTCGTCGAGGCGGGAGCCACTCTCTCCGCAGGAGCTGCGCGAGTGGTTTGCCCGGCGCTGGAGCCGTGCTGCTGGAGCTGGAGGCACTACTTTGCTGTTGGTCCCGGAGGTGCTCGTACTGGCGGTACTAGAGCTGCTGGGACTGGGGGTGCTGCTGGGGCTGCTGGAGTTGGTCCTGCTGGAGCTGCTGGCGGTACTGGAGCTGCCGGTCCTGCTGGAGTTGGTGCTGCTGGAGCTACTGGAGCTGCTGGAGCTGGAGCTGCTGGGGGTGTTGGCGCTGGTGGTTCTGCTGGCGCTGGTGCTTCTGAGGGTGCTGGAGTTGGCGCTGTTGGAGCTGGAGGTGCTACTGGCGCTGGTGCTGCCGCTGGGAGTACTGGTGCTGTCCCTGCTGGTTCTGGAGGCGCTGCGCGGCCGCGGCCGTACTTCGTTCCGCTCCTTGGTCTCCCGCCCTCTACTGGTCCTGCTCCTCCCTTCGAGTGTCCACCGCCTGTCCGGTCGCAGTCACAGTTACAGCCCGCCTCCCCTCTACCTGCTCCTTCTCCCTACACTGATCCTACTGGAGGTCTTGCTGAGCGTCGTGAGCCTGCATCTCGTCCTGCGTCGCCTGTTCGTGCTGCTCGCACTAGTAGTCGTGCTCCGCGTCCGCGTCCTCCTGCGGTCCCAGGCACACACCAGATGGCACTGCGTCCTTCCACTGCTCCTCTGCGTGTCCCGTTGCCGTCTCCTCCAGAGTCCTCTCTTCATGTTCTTGCTGACCCGGAGTCAGACTCTCTTCGTGCTGCCAGTCCTACTGTCACGCGTCTCCTGGCCACTGTTGTCACTGACCCTTCCTTTGAGTCCACTGCTGCGTCGGCCCTAGTTGCTGAGCTTGTCCACTTTGCTGCTCGCTGTCGTCTAGACTACGATGCTAGTCTTGTTGCTGAGTCTGAGTCTGTCTGTCCTCCGTCCGTCGGGGGTGAGTGTGCTCTTAGCACGGACGTCCTTGAGGATAGGCAGGAGGAGTTCCAGTGTTTTGCTGCTGCTTTGCCTCATCTCGTGTCCACGCTGATTGCCCCTGAGGGAGACCCGGATGCACCAGACATCCCGACTCCTCGATCGTACGCTGAGGCGATCGAGGGTCCCTACTCCTCTCACTGGCAGTCAGCCATGGACACAGAGATGGCTTCCTGGAAGTCCACAGGCACCTACGTCGACGAGGTTCCCCCACCTGGGGCGAAC